GTGCAATCCAAACTATGCCAGACTGCAAAATAGAGGACTCAACGAAAATATAATAGGGAGTGTCCTATTTTATAATTCGAACTGCACCACATTGCAAAATAGAAGCATTGGACATATAGGTGAACCCTTATATATCCAACGGTTTTATTTGCGCAGTCTAGACTACACAACATTTTTCTTTTTGATTTTGATTATAGAATGGAGGTAATCCTCTCCCATTTCTTATCTTACTCCACCTGTATGTCATGAGACTTGGACTCCCTCTTACTTCCATCATAATGAGACTTGGACTCCCTCTTACTTCCATCATAATGAGATTATCATTGAATTACTTAAATCGATTTGCCACAACAATTTTTTGATAATAAAAAAAATATATATTTGTCTTATAATCATCGATCGATGGAGGCCCCCTTAGCATTAGGGGTCCACACATTCTTTTATTAATGGTTAAAAGTAGTGCATTCTCTTTTGTTTTCTCATCCTCTTTTGCTTTCTGGCAGCAAACAAAAACAGAGCCAAGATATATTCATAAATAAAAAATAATAACAATGAAGCTCAAATGAACAAGTTCTATCCTTTTTTTAGCTTGAATATCAAACTTATACATAAATGCATAAAAAACACAACTAATACGTAAAAATTGCAATAAATGAAGCATGAGTAGCTAACTCAATCGTCGGAAAATACAAATTCTCTTCCCCAATATCTCAAATTTCTTCCAAAATCTAACAAACATACGAAAAATCCAGAAATGACACTGTATTAATAAAAGCAATCAGATTTAAAAAGAAAAAAAAGAAAAAAAGAAAAAAAAGAAGGATCATTTGAAGAAATTACCCCAGAAAGATCGGACGGGGGAGGGGGAGAAGGACTCCGCGAATCGATGAAAAAACCGATGATTTTGTCCTTGAAAGTGTGCATTTTTTTTTTCCTGTTGACGAGGAAGAAGAGAAATCTTGTGTGTTTGGTTTTGAGGATTGTTTGTGGGAGCAAAGGAAATGTCGGAGAGAGAAGGGAGGGAGGGAGGGAAAGTATGGAGTCAGACAAGCTTTGTTCGGGGTTGCGTTTGGATGAAAGGAATTTAAGTAGTAATTTTTTTTTGTTGGAAGAGAATTTAATGGTTTGGGAAATTTGGATAAACTTTCCTTGTTTGGTTTCATTAAATCCTTTATTAAGATTT